ACTTTCAATGAAAAAAATGAAATAACAAGGAGCGAAACAAGCAGAGGCTTCCCTGCAAGGAACACTTCTTCAGACCCACTTTCCTTCTCTGCTTTTGTACAAGTAACCCATATTTCATTCTTTATTTATGACCAAAAAAGCACTCCTGATCTACCCGAATACAAAGTGATCAGCGCACACCAGTGGGTGTTGTGTCCTCTTGTCGGGTCTTTTTTCTATGGCTTTTTCTTGACCACTATAATAAAAGGTCATTTTCTGGATCACGTCATTTCCTTTCAAATAGACGTGTGTGCTGGCTTTATGTGCACATCATTCAGTATATTTTCAAAGGCTTCCCCTTTTCTCTACTTGCCCTTGTTGTATATTCTAATAGATTCGTTGCCTTTTCTCACGAATGCCAAGTGCAGGCAGTGTTCATGAATCTTCAGCTAAATTAATTACTCCTTTTGGGCTATCTGTCACAGGCGATTTCCCTGCTTTTCTTCTCTCTTTCCCGGAGCTGTCATAAATTCATTCACCAACGAGGATGTCGGCAATGTATCATATGACGCTGCTTATTTTCCGATGACTTCCATATTTGTTTAGCCCTAAGCCATTGATCCAAAAGGCTCTCAATGGCCTCATAATTCACTTTCGTTTCTGATATTGAAACGTAAATATTCAGCGCTCTTTTGCTCGTGTTTTTTGGATAATATGCACTTTAGAAAAGAGCCATGGTAACGTGGTTTCTATCAAATAAATTATCAAACAGATTAGCGATTACGGTATTTTATCTTTTTTAAAAGGTCTCGAATAATCCCAAGAACCCTACGCCTGTTTTACACATTGCTTCGCTCTATTTGTCCAATTTTTCCCCTTCATTGCCGAAATTCTACATCAGCTTTTTCGATAATGCTTCTTCCTTGTTTGTTATGCATGTGAAAACGACTTATGGATGCTCACTTCGACTTCTTCTTACTCACTCTCATCATTTCAGCAAATTTGCGCTATCGACGTCGTCGCACTGTGCTCTGTGCTCCACAACCGCAGCAGCGAGAGGTGAAGGAGAGGGCTAATCATTAAAAGAGGAGAAGAGGCAGCGGAACAGCCAGCCAGCAGCCAGCCAGCCCACTAGCTCTGCCCCTGGGCGTGCCTTGAGCCGCCACCGCCTGCAAGCATTTTCGGATACCTCTACCGCAGTATGGCCACCCTTGTCGCATCGTCGTCGTCATCTTCCGGCTCTCCATCATCGGCAGCTGCCCCTTCGACGCCGACGACTGGGAGTGGGCCCACTGCTTCGAATCAGTCTCCACCACCTAGTTCTTCTCCCAAATCGCCCACTTCACCTGCTTTACCACCAAATACTCGAATGGAAAGTGTCACCAATGAGGATGAGGTATCAGCATTTTTTTGAGATGTCTTTTTTGTCGCATATATTAATGCCGCATTTTTTTTAGGTAATTGAATTTCTCCGTGAACACTTCGTCGCTAAAGAACCAATTCTTTCCAGTCTTCATATCTCAAAAATGTGAGTTTGAGCATTTCGATCCAGATCTCTTTTTACTATTCTACATATTCTAATATGTTTGAACTGCTGCTCAATACCCAAGCCGTAAATCATCGAATTGCTTGACTTTCAATGTACTAATCTTACCCCAAAACGTATTTGTCTCAGGCTAAGCCAAGCGGTTAAACTTTCACAAGGTTCCATTTTTGAGATCGGTTACTAAAGTGTTCATGTCCAATGTGTTCGTTGGGTTATCCATACTACCATGAAACGGAAGTTTGAAGATTTGTTTTTCAAGAGTACAAAGAGACTTCACCTTCTCCATAAGTCTAGTGTTGCTTCAATTACATTTCCATCTCATTTTTTTTCTGAGAATACCTCGCCCCAGATTCCAGACATTTGGAACAGACTACGGCTCACATTGCGTAACGGCTAGTCTAGACCCCTCCCTCCCCCTCTATTCTTTGCTCCTTTCTCTGGAACCTTCCTTGTTTCAAGACCTGGATGTACTTTGAGAATGAAATCCCAGACCTTCCCTGAAACCTATCCGATTCGATTTACGCAAGTCACTCTTTGCTAATGAGGCCTCTACGCTGTAGAGCGATGAAAGGGCTCGGAGTTGTTTGCGCAATTAACTATGTTATTAGAACTGGGTGCGTTACTCATTCATTAACCTGGGGTGGTGCTGCAAGTGATGTGACAAGGCGGGTAATGCATTAGGCGCTGGTCAATCCTTTCATGGGATACACCATGCGCTCCACTTTCATTCGCGATTTTACTGATACTTGAATGCGCTTTGCCTTAACACTGACCTATGGGTCTGAACACTACTTTTCAGTGATCTTGTCCCTTTGCATGGAATAGGTATCACATAACTGACCCCACTAGGAATTGGAATTCGGTGGTTAGGCGAGGACTGTTCTAGGATTCGAATTCCAGCTCAGTCGAGTGCACAGTTGCGTACGGCGTAGTCTAGACCCCTCCCTCCCCCTCTATTCTTTGCTCCTTTCTTTGGAACCTTCCTTGTTTCAAGACCTGGATGTACTTTGAGAATGAAATCCCAGACCTTCCCTGAAACCTATCCGATTCGATTTACGCAAGTCACTCTTTGCTAATGAGGCCTCTACGCTGTAGAGCGATGAAAGGGCTCGGAGTTGTTTGCGCAATTAACTATGTTATTAGAACTGGGTGCGTTACTCATTCATTAACCTGGGGTGGTGCTGCAAGTGATTGTGACAAGCGACGGTAATACTTAGGCGCTGGCAATCTTTCATTTGGGATACACATGCGTCACTGTCATTCGCGATTTTTTACTGATACTTGAACTTTGCCTTAACGCTGACCTATGGGCCTGAACACTACTTTTCAGTGATCTTGTCCCTTTGCATGGAATAGGTATCACATAACTGACCCCACTAGGAATTGGAATTCGGTGGTTAGGCGAGGACTGTTCTAGGATTCGAATTCCAGCTCAGTCGAGTACTATCCCTACCTACCTGCAGCTTACAAGGGAGGTCTTTCAGGACATGGAGCGCTTTTTTTGAAATGGTTTTCTGCATGTTGTAGGGGCTCATGCGAGGAACACAGAACCATGATCCATTTTTCCTGAACGCTCCGAATGCCAAAACAGTGGTGAAGAAATGGTCCAGAGTTCGATCCCCGGTGATGACTAATTTTTGCAATATAGTTTTGC